GTCTATAGGCCTATATCGTAGAGATTTTATCAGGATAATCTCTATTTCCATTACTGTCTTTGATTTCCCTGTTTTACGAAGTGAGTAAGATACAAGGCAGATACATCGCCCAATCCAGTGACTGGACAATATCGCATGCGTATGTTGCCATAAGTGTGCGTATGTTTGTGTATATGTGTCTGCATACATCATGTCTGTACATAAACAGGAATACCGAATATGCAGCTGTCGAGCAAGATTTTACGAATAGCAATAGTGATGTTAGACAATAAGCGGTAATGATAAAGATAATACAAGCAGGGTAATTAGAAGGATAGATATTAGAAAGTATTGTGATAATTGCATTAATAATAATAATAACATTAATGGTAATACTAATAATAGTTTATACTGACTAGAAAGACTATCAACTGCAATAGTAGTGATCGCAATGATAATAGTATGGATAGTAATAATAATAATGTTGAAAGTAATAGTGAGTTGAGAGAAATAATAATGGTGCACGATTACAAGGACATACATTGAATTGTCGTTTGAAAAACTGGTTCGTGTGTCATTTCTGTTACGAAAACATTATGTGAAATGAGACACATTCCCGACCCCGCACACTTATTATGGCAGTGGATGAGTAAAAGAAATACAATGACAATATGTTTTTTGCATTTACATGACTGTGTCTGTAGAACATATATGTATGTTTCAGCTCATTTTTCTCTGCCTGTGCATGTGTGTGTGCAAACGGGAATGTGTTTGTGTTTTGTAATCTAACGTCAAATAAATATAAAGAATACCTGCTCAATGAAGTATTCTTGTCCAATGTTCTTTCCACACCCAGGCTGTAACGTTAACTTCAGGGGTGTTTCCCCCCTAAATCGGCCAAATAATCTTCCACGAATCGAATTTCGAGTTAGGGCAGATCATGGCAAGCCCCTAAAAGGGCTCTACAGCTCGCCCCCGAAAGTTTAAGTGGACAAAGGTTTCAAGGGCCTCGCCAATATGTTTCGTGGGCGGAGGTATTCATTAGCTCGTCTTTGTGTTATTAGATGCGTCATTTTAGAGTATGGTAATGCTGGTGGTTGTTAGCAGCCAGGGGCATCCACTAATAAAGGAATCGCCGTAAATGCGTAAATAATACGTAAATAAATACGTGCAGTTTATGTAAATTGTCTTCTCCAGCTTTCTCGATAAGAGCCCGTATTTTTTTACCTTACATATCAGAGGGCCCGGGGCAGCGATCGCCACTTTGTCACCCACGCCAGACCGCCCTGTTAGCAGCTCGACCACCGACTCAGAATCAGCTGTTCTCTCAACCACCGCTTAAACTTGTGCCTAGGCCTATGATCCCTTTCTTAATCTCTCTCTCTCTCTCTCTCTCTCTCTCTCTCTCTCTCTCTCTCTCTCTCTCTCTCTCTCTCTCTCTCTCTCTCTCTCTCTCTCTCTCTCTCTCTCTCGTCAGGGTCAGCTGCTTTCAGTCGATATTTGGAAGAGGGCCATACACATAATTCTGAACCATCCCACCATATTCTACCATACTATCACTACTATCTTGACATATTGGAACGCACTACAACATTCAAACACTTAACAACACAATAACACAAGCACAGTGCGCGTAGCAGACCGTACTGAAGACTAGGCTTAAAAAAAGCCTTCGTTACAGTTGGGAACAGTTCACATGAGATGGGGATTATGAGCAGCAGGTCTTTTTCCTTACATATCTTGATTTCCTAATTCTTAACTCTTTTTTTCTAAATATATATTATACGTCTTTTAACTCACAGGTTGGGTCATCGGACACAAAGACCCATCCTCCACCGCTGCATCGTTGCACCTCACAGTCAAAGGTCACTTCCTCGCCATCCTCGTATTTCTCGCCATTATACTCACAGCCTACGAGAGGGTGAGAGGAGGGCGAAAGGAAGAGCATGAGAGTAATTCCTTAAATGGAATGATGGCGGGCGGATTAGGTGAGGAACCCAGAGGCGGCTGAGATAACATATGGTAATGATACATTTCTGTCTTTGTGGGTAGTGTATACGTGTCTTCTACATGTGCGAGCTTATCTTTAAAGGCAAATCTGTGTATGTGTGTTTGTCTATGTGTGTGTAGTGTGTGTGTGTGTGTCAGCGTTCTACAGTCTATAGGCCTATATCGTAGAGATTTTATCAGGATAATCTCTATTTCCATTACTGTCTTTGATTTCCCTGTTTTACGAAGTGAGTAAGATACAAGGCAGATACATCGCCCAATCCAGTGACTGGACAATATCGCATGCGTATGTTGCCATAAGTGTGCGTATGTTTGTGTATATGTGTGTGCATACATCATGTCTGTACATAAACAGGAATACCGAATATGCAGCTGTCGAGCAAGATTTTACGAATAGCAATAGTGATGTTAGACAATAAGCGGTAATGATAAAGATAATACAAGCAGGGTAATTAGAAGGATAGATATTAGAAAGTATTGTGATAATTGCATTAATAATAATAATAACATTAATGGTAATACTAATAATAGTTTATACTGACTAGAAAGACTATCAACTGCAATAGTAGTGATCGCAATGATAATAGTATGGATAGTAATAATAATAATGTTGAAAGTAATAAAAGTGAGTTGAGAGAAATAATAATGGTGCACAATTACAAGGACATACATTGAATTGTCGTTTGAAAAACTGGTTCGTGTGTCATTTCTGTTACGAAAACATTATGTGAAATGAGACACATTCCCGACCCCGCACACTTATTATGGCAGTGGATGAGTAAAAGAAATACAATGACAATATGTTTTTTGCATTTACATGACTGTGTCTGTAGAACATATATGTATGTTTCAGTTCATTTTTCTCTGCCTGTGCATGTGTGTGTGTGCAAACGGGAATGTTTGTGTTTTGTAATCTAACGTCAAATAAATATAAAGAATACCTGCTCAATTAAGTATTCTTGTCCAATGTTCTTTCCACACCCAGGCTGTAACGTTAACTTCAGGGGTGTTTCCCCCCTAAATCGGCCAAATAATCTTCCACGAATCGAATTTCGAGTTAGGGCAGATCATGGCAAGCCCCTAAAAGGGCTCTACAGCTCGCCCCCGAAAGTTTAAGTGGACAAAGGTTTCAAGGGCCTCGCCAATATGTTTCGTGGGCGGAGGTATTCATTAGCTCGTCTTTGTGTTATTAGATGCGTCATTTTAGAGTATGGTAATGCTGGTGGTTGTTAGCAGCCAGGGGCATCCACTAATAAAGGAATCGCCGTAAATGCGTAAATAATACGTAAATAAATACGTGCAGTTTATGTAAATTGTCTTCCCCAGCTTTCTCGATAAGAGCCCGTATTTTTTTACCTTACATATCAGAGGGCCCGGGGCAGCGATCGCCACTTTGCCACCCACGCCAGACCGCGCCTGTTAGCAGCTCGACCACCGACTCAGGATCAGCTGTTCTCTCAACCACCGCTTAAACTTGTGCCTAGGCCTATGATCCCTTTCTTAATCTCTCTCTCTCTCTCTCTCTCTCTCTCTCTCTCTCTCTCTCTCTCTCTCTCTCTCTCTCTCTCTCTCTCTCTCTCTCTCTCGTCAGGGTCAGCTGCTTTCAGTCGATATTTGGAAGAGGGCTATACACATACTTCTGAACCATCCCACCATATTCTACCGCACTATCACTACTATCTTGACATATTGGAACGCACTACAACATTCAAACACTTAACACAATAACACAAGCACAGTGCGCGTAGCAGACCGTACTGAAGACTAGGCTTTAAAAAAGCCTTCGTTACAGTTGGGAACAGTTCACATGAGATGGGGATTATGAGCAGCAGGTCTTTTTCCTTACATATCTTGATTTCCTAATTCTTAACTCTTTTTTTTCTAAATATATATTATACGTCTTTTAACTCACAGGTTGGGTCATCGGACACAAAGACCCATCCTCCACCGCTGCATCGTTGCACCGCACAGTCGAAGGTCACTTCATCGCCATCCTCGTATTTCTCGCCATCATACTCACAGCCTACGAAAGGATGAGAGGTGGGCGAAAGGAAGAGCATGAGAGTAATTCCTTAAATGGAATCAGGAGCCCCCGCCTCCCTCTTCGGAACACACCTTTTTCGGGCGGCTCAGATAACATACATGTCTGCCTTTGTGGGTGGTGTGTGCCCATGTGTGTGTGTCCGTGATTTTCCATTTGTGTGCCGGCCTCAAGCCCGAGTAAACAGAGAGGGTTGGCGTCAGGAAAGGCATCGAGTATAAGGAATATATGAACATATATATGTTTATATGAATACAAATATATATACAGTGGAACTTCTTATAATAGGCACTTCCTAGACTCGGCAGCTTCTTCTCATATTCGGGTTTTGTCCGGTCCCGACCGACGCTCATGTAATTTCTTATTAGCGGAACTTCCTAGACCAAGCACTTCCCGTCTCCGGCGATTGGCAGCCAAATCCCGGTCCCGATTAGCCAATCAGCTTCCCGAAATCGGCAGTGGGATTCTGATGAAAACGCGACATTCTGATGAAAGCGACGGCAGCGATGACGAAGGCGAGGAGAACGAAACACGTCCGGACGCAGCCATCAGAGAAGCGATAGAAATTACGGAAAGCCTTCGGGACTTCTTTCTGCGCGAGAATATGTCAGACAACGTGCAGATGACGACACAGATGAACAATTCTTTACTTGAAAAACTCGTGTCATCCTCCCGGCAGGTTGACTTGTTTTTTTTTGTTTTTTTTCACGCGCGTGAACAGTTGATTAAATCTTGGACAGTCTCTACTTCAACAACTTTGCGTAATCCTCTCGTCAGACTGAGTTGATGTCTTGTTTTCAGTCGTATAGATTTTTTTTTATTATTATTATTTTTTTTTTTTTTTTTTTTTTTTTTTTTTTTTTTTTGCTAATGCTTTTTGTAAATAAGGTTTTAAAATTGCGTCTTTGCAAGTGCCAAGAGGGCGTGTTTTCACTCATTTTTCTGGTCAGTTTCATAAAGCTAATATTTT